GACGTTGTTGCTCAACCATACGAGAATCGCCGCTTGTAGAATCATTATGTCTGGTTGCCCAGGGGGAGCAGTGCGCATGCAATGGATGCCTTCTTTCTCGACGACACCATAAAATGTTCCCGTGGCGCAAATACCGACAATGAGGAAGGAGAGGGAGAAGGCAGTTATCATTCGTTTCTTTCCCGTATATAATGCGTGCACGCAGAATAAGAGAAGAGTTGAGGTAGAAATCGTGATAGAAACCACGTGGTGGTGTTCCAAATGAAGCAGAATTCGTCGAGAGAACCTTCACAGGACATTAGGGCAGCTCGAAGAAATATCACACATTAATGCTGACCAAAGGAAATAGCTGCAACTGCCAGACGAGAGTGTGTGCTTAATCTGCGAAATAGGATGTTACTGATCATGAGTATATAAAGCAACACTGGATACGCACCTGCACCAAAAGTAAACAACGGTTGGAAAGCTAATGTTCTGTTTCAGAAATAGTTTGTACTCCTCCAGGTGGATGACAAAGTGCCAAAGGAACATCTATAGGAAGAATGAAATGTACCATAAGCATAGATGCAGAAGTTGGAAAGATCAAGGTAACATACCCCAGAGTACCACCAGCCACATACGAGCCAAGCAGGCCCTCGGTGAGCGCCTGCTTCTGACTCTGACAAGACAGCCGTTGTAGCGGACATCCTATTCTCCTCCACCAACCCCGTAGGAAGTTAGAGGAACGATAATTATGGCTTCTTGATCCTCGCTGTACAACTAGCGTTCCCCTGGGAAACTGGTACTGGTCGTTAATGATGCGAGCCTGAGCAATCGGCGCCATATCTGACTGTAAATATTCTTGAAAGCAGTGTCCTTGCCTGACGTCGAGGGTATAGTGTGGTGCGTGTGAACAGTCGAGGATCTGTTTCCCCGGCTTTAGAATCCTGTGACGTCTATCATGGACAAGGAACGACCCTCCACCTTCAGTTAAACATGAATTATGGGCCGCCTAACGAAGATGAAGTTACTACGTTAGGTTTCGAGTGAACGCCGTCCAACTCACGACGGTCGTATTAAATCCCTACTCGCTTCCTCGCAGTTGTGTGGTTGGTCGAAAAAACTTGATATTGTATCTGTAATTGAGAAGAGGACTGATTTGAGAGGGATAATAGTGAAAGCAAGCGCGACATACATGGATTAAATGGGCCTGTCCCATGAATCCCTCGCAACAATCAATCTTTCGCCCGAGCAATGAAACCCATGTATGCCTTTTCTAAAGGCCTCGAATAAGCTTGGAATATATGAGTGTCGTTCTGGATCCAGAAACTGAATCTTTGATGAGAATAAAAATGTTGCGGAGTCGAGTGCTGAGCGCCGAGGCCTTGTAATTGGGTAGTTGCAGACAAGCAAGTACTGGGAGATGGGAGGTAAACGCAGGCTTTCACGATTAGATTGGCATTGACGGTATAGAGATTCATTGTAATCGGACCATAGAGAAAGTCCCTGTTTGTTGATAGTGCGCGACTTGACGTATCTTAGACTTCGCCTGCCCTCAAGTGGGCCACACAGCCACACCAGAACTCTATACCCCTCGCTCTATTCCCTTTTCTCTACCCAAGTACTAGTACTCGTTTACACTCTCTTAGCAACTCGTGAATTGCGCACTGATTCGTTTGGGCATCATCGATTATACGTTAATCCTTGCGATCCTTAGACGACCAAATTACCTATGCGGCTCTAACATTTCGAATTAAGTAGCTGACCATGCAGTTCTAGGTGGCGAGGCGTGGTCCTACTAGAACAACATATCTAGCAAACTTTCTATCAGCAAGACCACGACAATGGCTCAACTCGTAACAGTGAATGCTCTGTGATAGTCGATACCGTAGTAGGAAAGCAACAACATCGTATGACTGGCTAGGGACGACGACCTTGTCGTCTGACCCGACGCCTTACGCTGAACCCAAAAAGAACATCGTATAAAATTATACCTACAGGACAATCCCGCCACAGCGCTCTTGAGAACTCTGGAAGGTGATTACAACAAATGTTGAATGGTTGTTACCCATTTCCATTCGTGCGCAATTCCTTCAGCATTGACGGGCCTGAGCTGAGTTGCGATAGCAATACAGCCGCTATGTTCAACTATAAGAGTACAGATTTTGTTTTTTCTGAAAGTCCTGCATACGCGTTCTCCAGGTAGTGTAACCCTGTCGGTGACGCCGATAAGCATACTGGTCGTCGAGATACCCACTCTGAGGAAGGAGATAAAGAAGGCAGGCATAACTGAGAACTCAAAATAAGAGAAAGAGCGAAATAGACAACAATGTAGTGCGAACGTACACCAAATGTAAAAATATCGCAACAGTGATCTTCTGCTTTGAAAACAGTTTGCATTCCCCTTTCAAGGTGGATGAAAAAGTCCCTGAGAAAAATCTACAAGAAAAGGATAAGGCAAAGTGAGCATAGAGAGGAACGCCTGAAAGGATAAAGGCAACATACCTCGAGAGTACTAGCAGCTGTGTATGATACAAGTAGAGGTACATAATGAGCACGAGTTCCTGCCTCCGCCTTCGGATGTACTTCTATCAGAGCATTCTTCATTGGGGCGGGTAACGGAGGTTTCCAGCGCCTTCCAGGTGTACACATAACCCTTGCCCGGGAATTGTACGCGAATATGGCAGTTCCGCTACCACATTCAACATTGAACGGTGATGAGCCTTGATGTCGCGAACGTGGTACATTAGCACCTGCCTGTGAAGCTGGGTCAAATAAGAAATGTCTGCGCCCAACTCGGGGGCACTCGAGATTATAGCGTTCGTCCAGGGCTGGTGGAGGTTCTTCCTTTGACAGTGCACGACGTTTACACTTCATGTGCAACTCGAATTGGTCCGGGACCAGGAAGCGTCTTCCGGTTTTAGCATTGAACGATGTGCCCGTATCTCCGGCTATCTTGAACAGGATGCTTGTACAAGGCGGGTTGCGAGGACAACTATTCAGCCGCCCCCGAGTTGAGGAACTGTAATGTAATGTCCATGTTGCGATCTGGGTCCAACGCGGCTGTCCTAATCCTACGAATCAAGTAGCTCATCATACTGTTCTCGATGGCTATATGCGGTGCTACGAGGATGTACCCATAAATCTCTGGGACGAAACCTGTAGCGAAACCGGCAATCGTTATTAACGCCGATACAACGAAGGTACTGTTACCTGAGTCAGTACTACGTAGTGAAGAGTATGTCATACTTACAGGATATATTTCTGCCCTTCTTGCCATAGGGCCCTCGATAGCGCAGGTAGGTGCTTCCCCTGTAATAGACGACGGAAACGGGACATCCTGGTTTGGTCTCGGGCCTCTTCCTCGTCCCTTGGAGGCATAAGTTTGATAGCGATCGCCACAAAGATCGCTAGGTTATTGATGACCGCCACGGTGGTTATCGCCAACGCGAGCCGTGTGTTCTTTTTCGTAACCGTGCAATAAGCACTCTCTGGGCCGACTCGCCCTCCGACGCTCGCGAGCGGTATGAGGGCCGAGAATCCTGTGACAATCAGGAAGAGAAGGAAGAAGCCGGTGACGACGCGTCGGTTGTCGAGGTAGAATGCTCGTACGCAGAAGAAGCGGAGGAAGGAAGCGGAGGTGACGATGGGAGGAAGACCGCCGGCCATTATTTTGCCTACAATCGCGCAGTGTTCTCCGAGAGGCGCAGCTAGCAATAGGTTAACATTCTTGTTATTGCTGAGTGGATTGACGCCTACTGAAGAACACTGTTGATATCACTAGGCCGAATAGTGCATTAAACCTATCAATCAACGTACATGAGACCTCGAAGTGCCAAGATATCGAAATCATGCATACCTAGACCACAGATAAACAATCGTTGGTAACCTGATCTTTGGTTTCAGTAAGAGCGTGTATTCGTCTTCTAAGTGGATAATGAGATCCCAGAGGAACATCTAAGGTTTCTAGTAAGCTTAACGTGTGTCTCCCCGGGATATGGATGGAACGTACCCCCAAGGTACCAGCGAATATGTAGGAACCCATTGGATTTGGCGGACCTAACGAACCTGACGGTACAGGCTCGAAATGGGTTTTGGACATGCTACTCTCCATGGTCAGGCGTAGCTTGGGCGTAGCACTAGAATGAGATTTAGAGACGACGTTCACATTCCGAACCCGACTCCTTTGATATGGTACTGAAGAATAAGGGTTCGTGAGAATGGGACGACTCTAAGTCGACATCGCATCCTCACCGGTGACGTCCATCATGGTGGAACAGCCCACTCTTCAGGCAAACAACATGATTCGTAGCCCGCCTAATCGACATGAAATATATTGTTGCCAAGATTGGGGGTGGACGCCAACCAACTTGAGGTGGTCATATTCAATCCCTACTCGCTTCCTTGCAGCTGAGGTCGGAACAATTTGTAATTGAGAGAAAGACGGATATTAGTGAACAGAAAGAGCGACGTGCACGGAATGAACGCACCTGTCTCATGCATCCCTCGCAACAAGATTATGCCTTCTTAAAAGCCTTGGAACTTGAAATTTGTGATACATTTTGGAAACGGGAAGCAAGAATGTTGCTGTTGCTGTTGCCTAGTTTGAAGTTCCGATGTTTCACTGTGCACGAGTGTTGAACGTTGAAAATTGAAGACTCCCGGTTTTGTTTTGATTGAGCTGAGTATGAGATGGTTGAACGTTAACGTTAAGGTACTGAGCTTTACAAATTTGATGCTCCGCGCCAACTCAGAGAATCAGAGCCCATGATAGGCTGCCTGTTACAACGCCCGCCTAGCTCAATCGGATAGAGCGTCAGACTCTTACGGCGGTGCGTCACTGTAAAATATCTGAAGGCTGCGAGTTCGACCCTCGCGGTGGGCTAGCGGTACTTATTTTTCTTTTTTGTTATTTTCTTTGGACTGGCAGCCTCGCGTTCCTTGACTGGAAGTTCTATAGGTGGTGGCAAAATAGGTATACTCGTATGGAGCACGCAAAATATTCGCTAGACTGCCAGAATAGCCCACCGCGAGGGTCGAACTCGCAGCCTTCAGATGATTACCATAGCCCGCTCGACTATTCGTAAAAGTCTGACGCTCTATCCGATTGAGCTAGGCGGGCGATGAAGTATGGTATACTCATTGCTTCTACCTCAGGTTGCATTTCTTGGTAAGGGTGGTTTTCGCACGAGGTTGTCATTGTCATCCAAGTTCGCTACTCAGTCTCAACATTCAACGTTATTCAACGTTCAACCCCAGAGCTCCGGGCGATTGTGCTGTGCTTGAATAAACGGCTACAGAACGAATCAGGAAAACGCGGGAAACACGAACATGGCGCGTCTTCACCGTGAGTACTTTTCTACTTCAGGCTGCATAAATTGCGATATCAGGAACCCACGCCAGCCAGTCCACATGATGGCTTCCAGCCTATATATTCGTGAAGAAGTAACTCCCATACCTGGTCGATATATCCCCAATGGACCACCTGGAAGAAAAGGGCGATTTAAACGAGCAATTGAGGGAAGATGAGCTGGCAGAGGTCGATCTGGCGACTTTCCACGAGCGAGAGGCTGGGAGGTTGATTTTAGACCCAGCGTACGTTCAAACTAGCCTCTTACTCTTCTTACCTCATGAATAGGTTTCAGTGAAGCCCGGATTGAATTTGGCGAACGCTTTGCTTCGAGGTTGAAGCTCACAGAAGACGGCAAGACCATTCTATGGCCCCAACCAACAGACGACCCGGCAGATCCTCAGAACGTATATCCTCCTTACCTATCTCTCGCTCATTATGCTGAAATTCTCCCTTAGTGGAGTAATCGCAAGAAAGCCCTCCATTTGTGCATCATCTCACTAGCCACCTATTGTCCCAGACTTTGAGTCGGCAATTGGTCTGTTGAACCTGTCGATAAACTCATCATCGAGAACTAAACCAAACCTAGGGATCGCCAGCGTCTTTGAACTGGCTGAAACGTACAATACTACCACAGAACATATCAACAATCTGACGTCCAAGTGAGTCTCCCGATACCATTACCGTGTGACTTTTCAACTAAGATTAACCATCTGTAGCTGGAGCGTGTTTCTCGTCGGTGAGCTCATTCTAATTTGGTATTCTCTACATAGATCTAATCACACCGAATTTAGGCTGGGGTGGTTTCTTTGGGTACGTGCCTTGGTTTCTCTATCTCTGCGACGAACGGCTAAGCGGCGCGTTTTGGGTGACATAGTATCGTGCGTTCAACTGACCCTCATCTCCTCAAGTCGTCTCACCATTCTTAGATGCTGATGCGAAAATATGGCCGGCTCCCAGTCTTATTCTGGTCCCAGGTATGCTACACCATCGTCTCACGAAGTTCTCTTGCTTATAACCCTATGTTTAGCTACTGGCGCTAGGCTTTCTCATAGGTGCTACATTTGCCCCGACATTGGAAATATTTGCCGGTAAGCCGTCTGCGATGATGCCTCAAGCTTAGTATACTGAATAGCCTGAACCTAGGGATGCGCTGTCTCATGGGATTCTTTGGGTACGTTAGATTCCATAATTTCGAGCAGCCGAACTCATCCTTTCGTAGAACATGTCCCCAAATCACCGTACGCAGCTCAAGTTCTCAGCTACAAGCCCGAAAAACTGAAGTTACACTTCACTCCAGGGCCTCTTCATCATTAACGACATGTACCCCTTCCATCTCCAGGTCAAAATGGTCAGACCTTCCCATGTGTTCCCACTCGATTAGTCGACTTATCATAACACCTCTTCCAGATAGGGATATGGACATGCGCCGCCGTTCTTAGCCCCCACCTTTCCCCATTCGCATTTAGCTTTCTTCTAGCCCGGAATGATAACTGGCGTATTGCATGGGGCATAGGTTGTATCTACAATCTTTTGGTGTTGTTGTTAATCGCGTTTTTTATGGAGGAGTCGTACGTCGTATCTCTTCGCGTTACGTTTTACGAGATTCTCATTTCGAACGTGGTACAACAGGATTTACGACCGCAAACTTGGCGTACGAACGGTTGAGCCTGGGCTTTCCGGGGCGTGTGGAGGCGCTGGTGGGTGTTACTGGATATAGGATGGCAAAGAGTGGAAATCCGTCGTGGAAGGAGGTTATAATGGCCCCTTTGAGTATTGCTTGGAGACCTCATTTTGTTGGGATTTATATCCTTTTGGTGAGCAGCATTAGAGCTTCATGATTCGGCCGGGCTAAGGTCGGGGACAGGCGATGTTCTTTGGATTTGCAATTGGCATCAACGTGAGTTCTTGTGCTGTTAATACGGGCCTTAGCTTCATCACGCTTACGGTTTACAGATCACGAATACCATTTTCTTTCAGAGTGAACCCCCGTTCGGGTTCGGATTTGACAAGTTTACTGTGGGAGGGATTTATGCTACTCCTGTCGTACGTTACGCACCACTAAATGAAGACACTGCTCGGTGACTGATTTTGATGCCAGGTGGCAGTTTTCATAGGAGAATTCCTGGGTCGTTACTTGAACGACTGGATTATGTATTACAGTGTGAAGAGGAATAACGGGTGTTCGAAGCTGAGGCGCGCCTTTGGTCAGTCGGTCGTCTGTGGACTGTCAATCAACGAGCAATTCTGACACTATTTGTAGGACTCTATACATCTCCATCCCCCTATACTTGTGTGGGTTTCTCGTTCTCGGTGCGGCGCTACAGAATCATTTGCACATTGCAGTTATTGTTGTTGGATGGGGGATAGCACAGATAGCGGATCTCATGTGCGCAGTCGCTGTATGTGAGTACAAAAGAACTGGCCTTATGGTGACGAGATGTTGACTTATTAGTTGCCTTAGATGCGTATTCGAACGATTGTTTCCCTACGAAGCAGGTCAGCTTGTTCAAGATGGGTCCAGTGGCATAATTGATGAAGCTAAACTCCTTTACAGGGCGAAGTAAGCGCTGTGTTGAACGTGATGCGTACACTTGGAGGTAATTACCGTGGCCTCTGACAAGAGGTATCTTGGACTGAGTCCTTTACAGGTTTTAGCGTGGCCTATTATCAGGTTCCATGGTCAAGGCAACATGGTGCTCTGCAAACATTAGGCCTCGAAGCTGGGTATGGTTCTTCACTCGTATTGTAACCTACGAGGCGTTACTGAGTCCTACATCAGCATAGTGTGCGCGCTGTTCATCCTTGTGGTTCCCACCCTTCAGTTGAAGGGCAGAGAGATCCGAGTACGTGAATACTATCTCTGGCCCGTTCAGTGTGCTCATCGGTCTTGACAGAAACGATTTTCGGTGAAGCAGTAGCTTTTGTATGTAATGATAGTACAGAATTCAGTATCTCGAGACAGAAAGAAGGGGTATGGTCCAGGTAGACTAAAGCGAGAACCGGGTCTAAACACCGTTTAGCAGATCGAACAAGTCAAGTCGAAATATGACTTACTCTTAGTCGCGCTCCAAACACCTGGAGCGAGGGTACAATTAGGAAGAAAAGTCCAACGACGATTCTGCAGGAAATGTCAACATCTGTTTAGATCCCGGTGGGAACACTTACGCAGCCTCACAGCCAAATGTCTGTAATGCGCCATGCTTCTCTGCCCATGGCACCTGGAAGTATGCAACACTGAAGCCTCCCAAAGTGCGGGCCAGATTGATCAACGCGCTAATCTCGCCCTACATTTATTCAATAACGCTGAATGTCTTTGAGGTCTGGTGCACTTACCTGTTGCCCAGGGAAACAGTCGTTACAATATGCGTCTAAAGACAGCGTCAGTGGTATGATCCAGAGTAATATGTAAATCCCTACAAATGGCGACTGTGGCCACCATAATAGCAGTCTCTGCTATCCCCCATCCAAATATCAATGCCGCAGTGTTCAAATGTTTCTGTAATGCAGCACCAATCAACACAAAACCGCAGATATATAATGCTAATGCAATATATGTTGCCCTGTTGTAGCAATGCTAAGTATAGTGCACCAAGGTGACAAAGCATACATACCAAAGACGATTCTCGGCTTCGAAAACACCCTTGTTGCGTTTGATGCTGGTATTCATGATCCAGTCGTTCACGAATCTTCCAATAAGCTCTCCGACGATAACCGCGACCTACAGTGACGATGAGTGATATTACCAGAAAGCCACATTTCTGTCTTACAATAGGTGTTCCATATCCTCCAGCGATAGCAAATTCACTCCACCCAAATCCAAGTGGTGGTGGACTACCGAGGAACACGGCCATAGTGACCTTCACAACGTGTCATTCTTTGGGAAGTCCTAGCCCGTCCGATGAACTTACGTTTATACCAATACCAAATCCGAACAGTACGCCCTCAAATAGCAATATTCCCAGTAAATGCGGTCTCCACACAACTCGGAAAGTTGTCGAAATGGATTCAAACCATGTAACTCGATATTTTGCCAACCGCGCACCTGTGATGCCTGTGAGCGTCTCTAGGCGATAGCGCAGGCCACTCCCAGGTTCAGGCAAGTCCTTCCTCTTCCGATCATACATTCTTGAAAATGTTAGTTTATGAGAAACGATCGGCGGCGCGGTACACTCACGTTTCCTCCATGAAAAGTGCTATCAAAATACACACGACGGCACCGTACATGGACCCGATGCCATAGGACCACCTCCAATTAGCACGGGCAACAAGGAAGCCGAAAGCTGCGTAAAACGTGAGATCGACGGATCAGATTCAGGAACCTTCCCATAACTCACCAAATGGTGATAGGAAGGGACTAATAATAAATCCCATGGTCCAAATGTTAAGCTAATGCCATAGGTATCAGTCACTAAGTGATACCTAGGCAGATTCACGGTACCATTCTTGCTTGTAAATGGAAAGGATATAGATCGGTCACGACGTATAGTCCCTGCAGTGAAAGACGTCAAAAATACACCAGAAGCAGACACGAGAACATACAGAGATCTGTGGTGCAGTTCTAAGTAGACATGTATAAATCAGGTTACAGCAAACACAGTGGCTTTGGAAGTCCTACCCAAAGAGAGCAGTGAGGCATCTCATGGCTGTAAAGCATGTTAGAAAAGGATTGTTCACGAATAAAGTATCATTACCCGCGAAGGTAGAAAGATTCGGAGCAAAGGTACAACCGATGAGGAATCCGAGCGCAAACACCTAGCAGCGTTCAGCTG